GAGAACTTAAGCAAACACTGTGATTTATTTGAAGCTGTGAGTGCAGTTCATCGAACCACACAACTTGATCTATTCTATCTATGCTCTTATAGCTTGCAGTTTTCCTAATTGTTGTCGTCGTTGTTGTTGCCGTAGTCGTTGATGCTGTCGCTTTCCTCGTCAATCTCCCTTTTTTTTTCATTTTTTTAAGCCAACCCTTCGATCCGATGACGCAGGTACTTTTGGAATGCTAAGAATAGTGAAAAAAAAAAGAAAGAAATGTTTTACTGGAGAGTGTTATCTTTAAGCAACCTAACGTTGGAAATGTTTTTCATAGGTTAACAATGTTGTATCTCAACAATACTTATTGTTCTACCGCTTTCCTCCGCCAAAATTTTACCGACAGTATCCGGAATGCAGAGACCGTGGAAACAAATTCATTATCATCCAAAAAATATAGCCAATAAGTTTCACTTTTAGCTGGCTATACATGTTGATAGCATTGGTGAAAAGCCAAAAACCATAAATTCCTATTAAACCATAGAGCCGTTAAGCTCAGGGCGAAGTTGCCAAACTAAGCAATGCGTTGAAACAGTTTACAGCAATACTGTCATTTTTTTGTCATTCCTCATTCCATTAATTTTTTTGTTCTTAGCCATAGCTCAAAAATGATGAATTCAACTGATTTGCTAAATACCCATCAATTTACGGCTAATTCAAGTAACAAAACAATATTCTTCTCCCAGACTAAAAATAGCTGAACATTGAACCACCAAACGAAATGAAATGACTACCTGCATTACGTACAGAATTAGGAAAAAAACTCCATAAATATTCAGCAACAAAAACTCATTATAAAACGCTTATTAAAAAGCCATTGAAAACAACAGAAAATAATGATAATGAAAATAAAAATAGAAAAGAAAAGAAACAAAAAATAAATAATAATAATAATAATAAGTCGTCGTTATGCTTTGCAAACCTAATGCCATAAGAGTCAAGTTGCTAACTGTATCGTTCCATATCCGAACTTTAACTTTCATTGGTTCCAAACCCGGTCGTTTTACAGTTACTGTTCGTTCCATACTTGAATAAATAAAATAAAATTAATAATTTTCAGTTTGTACTCACAAAAAAACCCTTTTTTTTGGCAATCAAAATATTTTTTTTCCAACCATTAAAAAATTCACTTCATTTTAATCACTTTCTTAGTTAACAATAAGTCTTTTTTTTTTATTTTTTTATTTTTTTGCAAAAACCTTTCAATAATTAACTAGAAGTAACTGATCTATTTACATTTCGATGAATCTATTCTAATATTTGCACTGTCCTGTAAAATGCACTGTGCCTCACAAATAGCTTCTAACAGAAGACTATTAGCACGTTGCGGCTGTCCCTCTTTTCTCCTCGTCATCTTCAAGAAAGCAAAAAAAAAAAAGTATAAAAAGAATTCCCTCCTCACCGTCCCTCTCTCATCTTTTAATGCACACATAAATTTCAGCAGAACAGCGACATTTACAAAAAGATACCAGCAATGAATTACGACAGCATTACGTCTATGTTGCTATTTTTAACAATGGCTTTTTTTTTTCAAAGAACCAAAGAAGAAAAGAGCATCAATCTAAGATAATATTTGCAAATTTCGTTCTTAACAAATATTTGGAACAGTTCTTACCTGGTAATTACTTCGATTGACGACATAAAACGATCGGCAACAATTGAGACACCTAAGAAACTGTACGCAATAACAAAGAAAAATATCACTCCTCTGAGAATACGATCGCTAAATTTAAGATCCAAAAATGGCCTCCTAAAAATTAAAAAAAAATTATTTTTTTGTTTTATTTATATATTTAAGTGAACAGCATCGCTTTTTAAACAGTTCCTTCTGAGTAATTCAATTTTTTACTAATCTTCTGACAAAGTTTGGAAATGTATGTTACTGGAAAGAAGCATTTGTAAGTAGAACAGTGAAACCTCTAAGAAATGCCAAGTTTTTAGTGTTGAAAGTTTTTTTGTGAACAATTTGTACGGACTGGTTAGT